GTGAGTGAGTGAGTGAGTGAGTGAGTGAGTGAGTGAGTGAGTGAGTGAGTGAGAGAGAGAGAGATACACGGGCCGTGCTGGTCTAACTTGTGACTGACTCACTTATAAAGGTCGGGAGAAAGTGCTTGTCTACTCTGAATGACAAATTCACACTTGAAAGTCAAACTTGCATTTTGCATAAATGTGTGTGAAAGTTTGATATTTATGGAAATAGGATTTGGCGCGGTGTAGCCACACATACGCAAACACGCACACACACATTAACACCCATTGGTTGCAAAGGAAACTTTTCTTATCCGTTGAAATAATGCTGTTTGTGACAGGTTAATAGTCTTCTAATGAAGGATGTTTTTACCTCGGATTCTCTTCTTCTGTTGATTTTTATCTCATTTGTCTCTTTCATCAGTGATGTTCCACGATTTGTACTAATCTATTATTATTTACATACTTAGTTTACTCATTTTGTCTTCACCTGCCTCATCTGTGTACATTTCCCAATAAAGCAACCTGTTCGTTTTTCTGTGAAGAATGTACACAAAGTGAGTGATTGCTCTGCACAAGTTGTCTGTGCAAAAGTAGCAATGCATTCTGGCTTGTTTGAGGCTTCTGAGGGTGAAAGAAAAATCATGGATATGTGTATGATCTGCGATTACTTTGTTAATAATGCAATAACAATAATGCAAAAACAATATTTCATGCAATAAACAGACATTAAAGTGTACTCAGTTCTGCCTTTCCGCTGCTTTCAGTATACTGCTAGAAGACAACAAAGTGCTTGTTGAATTACAAAAAAATTAAGGGAAATTATTTCCATTTTCTTTTTTTATTGAGCGTTGAACTGAGCACAAAACGCACCAATGAAGTGATCCGTTTCTCTACTGACATTCTCTTTCAACTAACTGCACATCTACACCTGATGTTAAAAGAAAAGTTAGACATTTTTGGAAATACACTTGCTCAGAGTAAGATGATACCGCTGTATACAATGAATATGAAGCTACGGCCGGCAGCCAATTAGCTTAGCTTAACACAATGACTAGAACCTAGGGGGAAACAGCTAGCCAGGCTCCGTCCAATGGTAACAGAATCCATCTCCTAGCACCCACTAAGTATATCTTATGTGTTTGCTCTGTATAAAAACCAAATTGTAAAACAACAAGTTGCCGTTTGGCTGGATTTTGTTAGCCCTCGGCAAAGCCAGGCTAGCCGTTTCCTGTCTTCGTGCTAAGCTAATCGGCTGAGGGTTCTAGCTTTGTTTTTACCGTATGGACTTGAGAGTTTCATTGACCCCATCGTCGAACACGACAGCAAGAAATCAAGAGCATTTTCCAAAATGTCGACCTATTTTTATTTTTTTTTAAACAGTCATTGTCATTTCATTATTTTGTGTTAAACTGCATTGAACCGCAAAACAGACTCGTGAATCCATTGGTGCATCGACAATCACTGTTGAAGTTTAGATTCTTCATCGTAGAGTCTTTTTGTGATAATGTGCACATTTTTGATAACCAAGTCCGTCTGTAGCATCTAAGCTAATAAAGGTTTTTACATGATGGCAATAGTGTGTGTGTGACCTCGCTAACTTTTGTGGCTCAGCGTTGGCTGGCTGGAGTCTGTTTGGAGGCTGCTGAGCTGGGCTGTCAACCAAATTGACTGCACACATTTATTTATTTTCTCTCCACACAAACGCACTTGGGCTATGTCAGGGGAAAGCAAGCGGAGAACGTCTGATGAATCCATTGAAAATCCGCCCGATCTGGTCCTTAAGGGCAACATGTTTCTCCTTGGAAAACTTGGTTTCAAATATAGTATTTCTTTATAACATTAAACGTCCATACTAAATATGAAACGATTTAAATTTGGAAAAATACTTTGCTGATATGGATTACGACTTCAGCATTAGAGAGTCTGGCTTAATGGAGCAAATTACCCCAAAAAGATCGCCAAATTTAAACACACTGTTGGAGGGAAGCACGTGACTGACCACCAGCACCATGGACAGCTCATTCAGATGAGTTCACACTGAGTTTAAAAGGATTTTTCATCTTTTTGTTTAGTGTTTAAAAGAGTTATTTGATTGACACAGATTTATCGTGCTTTTCATCTTATCACTTCGGGTTGAAAGGAACTAGGACACTAATCCTCAATGTGCTTTAATTATACCTGAAACATGCCTGAAGTTGACTGCTAAAAGTTGTCTTTAGATAAACTTGTGTCACAGACTCCAGTTTCATTACATCCAAGTTGAGATTTTACTCTGTTTGATTTGAGACAATTTGATGCACATTTGCAAATGACACAAACAAGTCGTGCACTTTCATAAAGAAAACAGACAAAAAATATGTGAATGCTAGAAAAGAGTTGAAATCTCAGGTTTTGTTTGGCACATCCAACCCCAAAAAGGAGCATTTAGACAAGTAGCAATATTCTATTGATGATCCCCTCAAGCTGAATCCCCAACATCAGAGACCCCCCCCCCCCGGATACCCCCCCCCCCCCCCCCACCCCCCGCCACACCCCCCCACCCGCCCCCACACCCATCC